TGAATGTGCGCCCTCCAGATGTGAATGTGTTTTTCAGGCACGGCAAGTGGAAGTGTTAGAACTGGGCACCACCGGTTAGCTGGCTAGCGGTTAGCGTTGGTTAGGTTAGGGGTTTGCGCCGAAGGCGCTGGTTAGAGGTTAGGGTGAGCCCGAAGGGCCTGAGGACATTTTGAATGTGAGGTGTGAGCTGCCGAATGTGGAATGTGAGATCAGGGCCGTGAGTGTGTCCGATTGTGTATATACCCCCCAGGAGATGCAGCCTGGTTGTCCAACTACCACTGTGATGCGTATGAAAGATAAAGATCTTAGATATTGATGTTAATCATGGCCCGCGGCGTTCTCTGATCCTCTCTCTACCATTGTTCGCTGCAATGCGTGAACCGTAACCGCCACGGTGAGTAAAGTGTTGCATGTATTGCTGACATTGAGCCGTTAAGTACTCACAATCCAGTTCCAGTGTTGCCCAGGCCTCTGGGAAGCCTTCGTACATGCTTAGGTTCGCATATAGCACTAGTACAAATGCATTAATGGGCGCACAGCGCCCCGGATTTTCCGGTAATTATTGTATAGCAACCTCAAACGCGGTTTCGTGTTTAAATAAAGAAGGAAAGCTTGTGGTGAGAAACGTTTTATCTCTTGGATCCGCTTTATTGACATCGCCTTGAGACCTCAATAAAACTTACTCATCTTGTGTCTTCCCCGCTTCTCTTCCTTCCCTAATGTCGCGCTCTCCAAGTCAAGATTTTCAGATATGGGCAGCGGGGCCCCTCTTGGTATTAGTGGTATGTTTTGCACGAAGCGAATGTCTCGATATATAGCATTAAAATTTTCCTTCAGATTGACCTCTTGCTTTACGGTTCGCTCCATTCATCCATATCGACGCATCGACCGACTGGCTCATTGAAACACATTACTAGGGGTATACACTGCCTCTTCGGTGTCTGCATATATGTCCTTCGGGGGCGTAAAAGCTCAGCATACCGCAGGTTCCACTTTATAACGACGACGATTCTGTTTTCGCTTGCCACCATCGGGATAGGGCTAACCATAGCATCTATGGACAATTTTTGGGACTTAGTGGGAGCTTTTACAGCGACGGTGGATCCAGTGGAGAGGGGGAGATTGCGTTTGATGGTTTATCGTCAGTGATATTTTTCTTCATTAGGGAAAGATACTTATCATACGGCCGCCTTCCTAGATTGACAACAATGGTCATATACGTTTTGGCAAAGTAGGTCTTGTGCGGACTTTCTGTAAATGGAGACTCATGAGCTGTGCTTATAGTTGTTGCGCCGATATCATCTTGGTATGTCTGCCGCGCCGAAGGCTGAGGACATTCCCATTAACACTTTCTCAGCTTTTTCGTCTATATCACATCTGGGAATCTCGCAAGTTTATTATCCTTCCTCCCGCTTTCCTCACTGCTGTAAACCTCGGTATGGTCAACTACATACACGAGTGATTATCCGTAAACTCATTATAAAACCGCAGCTCTAGGGATAGCTTCCATAATTGGAGACCAGATCCCCAATGGTCAAACATTCTATATGGACAGTGATCGGAATCTTACCGCCTTTCTGGGGATGCCTAAAGTAGGAGAAGCATTGCTAATAACTTGCTTGGTTGTTAGCTTCTTCACTAATGTACTATTGACGGTCATGATTGGTGTGTCGACTCTTAGACTGCTAACGCCAGTGCTAACCATTAATTTCAGCGGGAAGAATTTGGTGGATACGCCGCACGGTAACACATATGGGCTATCGTGCTCTCTTCCAGCAGTACAACACCGCTTTTGCCATTTTGTAAGACCTGTTCTATTCTTCACTGTACGGCCGACTAATTACTACTTCCTCAGTGTCGAGTCTGGAATAATTTATCCAATCATTCTTCTCATTTCGCTGATAACGGTACTGGCGGTACCACTAGTAATCAACATATTCCCTATTTTGATTCAAGTCGTCGTGAGTGCTGAAACAACTGCCTGTCATTCCCTGAAGTTCTGACGCATCATGGACAGAGTATCGCACCCATGTTGATACTTGTGCGTTCTGGGCTTGGGGTTAGTACCGAGGGCGTTCAGAGCAGCGATCAAGCTACGGATACAATGAAAAAATCCGAGCTTGATACGGATACTCTTCTCGAACAGAAACCACTGTATAGTAATAAAGGGTATTATGAAGTCTGAGAAGGGAGTTGGACTGGACCCGGACTGACAATACTGATGATCCCACTCTACATATGAAGCTTGAAGCCATGTATTTATCTATAATTTACTACTATGTACCCAACTACGCATATACCTATTTATCTTCTTATAATCATAATGGGACTGTCGCATCCTTTTTATCGTCAGACAATCGATACTAATCCAACCGCGACCAAGCGGTATAGGGAATGAACATATTGGATCACCAAGAAAGAACAGGGATAATTATACAAGAAATCTAGGGCAGTTAAGTACGATGTAGGCAAGTAAGTAGCGCAATGTCAATATGATAACAACGCGAAGAAGACGAAGAAGGGTTAACTTAGGCGAATGATGACGGAAAGCATGATACAAGATGCGGGGTATATCCACAAGCAGTGATATATTGCAAAACAGGACCTCGAGAAGGGAAGAATTGCAGGGACAGGGAACACAACGATGAGCATAGGGGAGAGGAGCCACAAAGGAGAAGAAAACTGGGGATTCAGACGAACGGGATCGCGGTAGGAATGACGAAGATGGATAAACAGATATGCAAAAAATACTCCGTGGAAGCTACGAAGAGATGGCGATAAGTGATAGCCAGAGAAATAAAGACGAGATTGTAATCACGTTAAGACATCTCTTACTCCTCATCATCGTCCAAGGTGAGAGCTTCCAAATAGCTCTCCGGAACGAGCGCAAGCTGTCTATCCTTTTGTGAGGCCCGCTTATTTCCTTTCTCGTCCACTCCGTCTACCACAACGACGGCCCAACCTACTCCGCCACCGGGACCAACCACGCGCACTACCTGATCTTCTTTCAAAGCCATCTCCCGTGAGCCTTCCGGGTCGAAGCTGTAAAGCGCACGATATAAACCAGGACTCAGAGGACCAATGTCTTCTTCCTCTTCGTCAGCGTAGTTGGGATCCGTCGAATCATCAGACGGCATGGTCCACTGCCCATCCCAGCCCTCTTCATCCTCTTCATCCTCTTGATCTTCATCCTCATCCGAGTCTGCATCTGTCTCATCGCTATCGGGTGCTTCCCTATTCGCACCGATAGCAGCCTGTTTCCAAGCTTGATACCCAGCATCATCCAGCAACATCTTGTATATCACCCGCACTCGATTCTCCTTCGGAACATTCAACGTCCCTCGCCCATCTTCGCCTAGTCCCTGGTGTCTAGGATCCGGCGTCTGGTACGTGAAATCCCGGATTTTGAGAGGTATTCGATAAGAACTAGCTGTCGAGCTAGAGGAATTGGAGGATGATTTTTGAGAATGGGTGGATGTAGATTCTCCACGAGTATGATGCGTAAACGATGAAGGAGTAGGATTTCCAGTGGAAGTCATGGAATGGGTTGCGGGTAGAGAAGTGGATGTGGTTCGTCTCGCATGAGTAAGCAAGGATGATATATCGCCGGCATTTATCCGTTGTCTAGACGATGGCCGGCTGTGGCGTTCAGAGAAGTTCTGCGGGAAGACGAAGCTAGCGGAGCGCCTCCAAACTCGCTGTAAACGATGGAGAAGACCTCCTGGTACAGCTGAAGGAACTTCTGAAAATCGTTTTGACTTTGTTTGTGTTGTAAGGAGAAAATCCTCAGATTTCCTCAGTACCTGCCCTGCAGGAGACTGCTCAGAAAGTGAATCCGAACGTGAAGCTGTCAGAGTGGTTTCCGTGCTGCGCGACTGCAGATACGTCCAAGGCAATGACATGTGCTTGGTTTGCTTTTGATTGAGAGCGTGCATTTCGGGGAAATCCTGTAGTTCTGTGGTTCGTGCTAGTTCGTGGACAAAAGGTGGAAAGGAAGCGGTTTTAAAGAAAGTCTCGGCGCCTTGTGACCACAGGGGCACAGACATTTACTTCCGCTTCCAAGGGTTTGCGGATAAACAAAAGCGGAGTAACCGTTTTCAACTTCAAATTGCTATAAGTCTAAGAAAGTGTAAGCTGCCCATGCATGCATGTTAGACGACGTACGCACCATGCCACCGGCGTTCGTTGTTCGGGTGAGTTTAAAGGTGGCTAACAACGCCAGAGCAACAGCTCCGTTAGAGGGTTTTCCCGATATGGCATTTGTCGGTCTTTCCGCAGCGGATGTCCCATCTATCCTGGCACGGTAAGCAGAAGGCGAAACGGAGCAGGTAGGAGAACTGTAGGCTGCACGGTATAGTGACTACGGTATTTGTAGAAGGACCGCGCGTATACTTAACATGGGCTTGAATATGGCAGCCTGTTGCAGCTGTAAGAGGCAGAGCAGTAGGACGCCCAAAACATGCTGTGGTAGTAGCCTTGGAAAATTTCGACTTTGACTTTGAAAGATTAGAAGAAGATCGAAGTTTTGGCACCGGTTCTACACGTTGAGTATAACAGAACGAGGAATTGGTGGACTGTACTCCTAGAGCCGCGCGCCGCCTAGCTCCGATTCAATACGACATACACAGGCATAAACCTAGTTTAGGTGTACTTAGGGGTTACTCTGTCGCGTCTATCTTTTCACCTGGTAAGATACAGCAAGCCTAGTGAAACAAGAAAGCATCCATAGTAATGATATCGACGCGTTCGCCGTATTCAAGCTTTGAAATTTTCATCGTTTTTAACCGTTAGATAGGTTTTCGGGGGGAAAGGCATTTCTTTCGTAGACGATGAGTGCTCCATCATGCGTTTGGATGTGGGGGTTAAAGTAATCCGGGAGTGCTAACCTTTTTAAAATTTTTCACAGTGTATAGTATATAGCTCTAGCACAGTAACAGAGAGCGAGAGGGCCGGAAAGAGTAGGCAGTCGGAAAAAGAAATACTTGCACACCATAATCCTATGCTCCCTGCAAGGCTCGAACTTGCGAATACAGTCCTCAAAGAACCTCAAATATCAGACTCGCGTTCCACCGGCTGAGCTAAGGAAGCACAGCATCGGAACGTATTTCGGGACTTTGAATCTCAAAAATCGGAGAGGATTCGAAAAGGGACGGAGGAAATCTTACTTTCAGGTGGTGCAAAAATCTCACCTCGGAGAAATCAAGAAATTGCGGGCAGGTAAACTAATACTACTGGTTGTAGTACTATCAAGCAGAAGTCGATTGATTATTATATCCAGCAGTAAAGCGTACTAAGTACCGTGTCTTGCTCTTATGTGACTGACTGTCCGAGTCCATAGGTGTGGCGTACAAGCCAATCACACCTCAAACAAGCCACGCGGCACTTTGAATCTCTTCTTCTAGCGACTTGGCTGCGAGAGATTCTTCAATGCCAACGAGATCAATCCTGAAGAGCCTTCTAAAAATATATAGTCAGAATTCGAAGATTAAAGTTGCAGTAGGACAAACACACCAATTTCGCCAAGTAACTTTGAAACGGTCTATCTGCGGAGCCAAATAATCGACGTTGAACGTCTTCAAAGTAGATACGCGCTCGACCTGACTGTCAGAGACTGGCCAGGCATTCGAGTAAAGTTTTAAACCCGACTTGCGGTGGACTTCATAACGGCCATCCTTTTAGCCTTTCCTACCCAAAAAAACAGAGTATTTGCGGTCATGACTCATACAGGTAGTATTGAACAAAAAGGCGCATGAAAGCTAGTCTGTTTGGTGGCGAAAGATAAACACCAACTGGAGTTGGGAGACAATTGCAAAAATGCGCTTTGCCACCGTGCGAAATCTTCAACCTAATTTGTACACATAAAACAACTCTTTCGTACACTATATATTACAGATAGATCGGTACTGCTACTACATTATCCAAATCGTCGCAACTTACAGTCTCAGACCCGACGTTCCCCACTTAACTGAATGCCAAAGCAGTCCAAGCAGCGACAGCTCCGATAGAAATCGCAGTCACAGTCTGCACAGCGATAGTTCCAGCACGACGTGCTCTCGCAGTTCGTCGAGCTCGTTTGGGTGAAGGGACGAGGATACCATCTGCATTCGGAACCATCGTGCTTGCGTCGTTGTCTGTCGAGTCGACGAAGGAGTCGGAACGGGACCCAACATCGACACTCTCGTCAACATCCATGATCACACAGTCACTGGCACCAAATTCCTCGCTATCATCAGCGCGTTTCCGCTTCAGCGACGACTGGGCCGTAGTCGGATAGGAGAAGGATTCGAATGCAGCCTGGTCCGTGTCAGAACGACGATCCGAACCTGTAGGCAATATACATACCTGTGCCGCAAGAAGCTGGGCCTCTACATCTTTACGCACGGCAACGATTGCTCTCAACTCATTCTCAGCTTGAACGCGTGCAGCCTCAGCGGCCTGTAGTTCGATTGTGCTCTTCTCTTGAATCTTGCGTAGCGCTATAGAACGGGCAACCATGAGAGATTAGACAAATCATGAGTGGCGAAGTGACATACCTTCAATTGTTCCCGCTAGTTCGTTTGCATGAGCATTCTTACCAGTCTCCGTTTCTTCATCTCGGGCTTGGAACGCTTTCAGTCCCTCTTCTTGAATACCAATCCGACGGTTGGCCTCCTCGACTTGACTAGATAGTGCCTTGATACCTTCGTCCATGACGTTAAGCTCTTCTTTCGTGCTGATGGGGCTAAGGTTGGAAACCGCATATTCCTTCCAGTCCTTCCAATCCTGTTGCAACTTGTCAAAGTCCTCCTTGAGCTCCCACACCTCCTTCTTTACCCCCTCGCCTCCCATTAAATCATCGACATCCCTCCTCACATCATCAAATTCAACCCGAAGCCCATCAACATCAATTCGTACACCTCCAATATCCGCTTGCAATCCCGACACATTACCCTGAATCCCCTCGCAGTCATCCCTGACCGCATCGACGTCGTTTCGAGCAGCGTCAACATCACCCCTAATGAAATCAATGTCATTTCGTGCTCCATCGACTTCCATCCGGATTCCTTCGTTGTCATTCCGCACTTCATCGATATCGCTTCGCACGCCGTCGATGTCATTCCTAACTGTATCAAGATCGCTCCTGACGACATCGACATCACTCCTCACTACGTCGACATCGGTACGCAGGTCCCGGACGTCAGTCTTCATCCAGTCAATATCCCCTTTGGCGGATGTGAGGTTAGACTGTGCGGCTGAGATGTCGGAGGTAATTGTGCCGAGCGTAGTGAGCTGGGACAACTTCGAGTTCATAGTAGTGACGTTGGAGTTGAATCGGGATTTGTATTTGCGATTTTGGAGCTGAAGAGCGGTTATGTTTGTCTATTGATGACGATGTCAGTGAAGGAAAGAGAGAGATAGAGGTTTCCATGACATACAGTCATAGCCGACAGCTTCTCATCGATCTCCTTCAGCTGCGCCTCATGCGCCTCAAAGACTTCGGCATTGGCACCACCGCCAGGAGCAGCAGCGCTGGAACCTGAAGCAGAACCAGGAGCCGCCGAAGTAGTCAAGCTGGTACCCAAACGCTCCTATGTCCATGAAACGTAGCATTAGTCATAGTCAAATAACCAAGAATCAGATTCAAAGCTCACCTTCAAAGAAAACAACGCAGCACGGAGATCTACGAATTTCGACATTCCATTCACTGGAGAAATGGATTTCGAGGCTGCGACAGAGATATCAGAACTTGAGCTTGAAGCCTCGGCGCCGGGAGCGGCAGCATCCATCTAAAAAAATCGTTCAATGAAACGGAAGTAAGAGAGCAAGAATTAGGCCTACGGTAGTATCATCAAAATCAAGCAACGATGGAAGTTCGTTAGCATCCTTCACCCCGCAGGAGCAGGAGAACCATGATGAATCTCATCAAACACTTGCTCATCCATCATCATGCGCTCGTCCTCATCGACAGCAGCATTACAGTCGAGGGGCTTCATCGACTCGGCCTCAGGATCTGCTTGTTCTTGTTGCTCCTCGACCTCGATCTCATCCTCTATCACCACATCTGGCCCAGGGAAGGATTCATTCGAGGGCAAGAAATGAGCAAGAGCTGATGCTGCGTCTTCCTCCTGTGCATGACCGGCAAAAGGAATGACCTCGAAAGAACCTTCGCCATTGGAGGCAGGTTGAGACGAGGAAGGCAAAGGAGGCGGAGAATCCAACGGAGATTGAACAGGGCCTGGAGTCGGCATATCGAATGCGAAGAAAGTCGGAAGCAAGGGCGAAATATTTTGACTACCTTCGTTCTCATTTCCATTGCCATCCTTGGAGGTCTCGGAGGATGTCTCGTTGAGTAGGATCTTCGCTGGTGAAGGCGACGGAGATGGCGTAGCGAGTTCCATAGGCGACGTGGATTTGGATTTGGACCTTTTCCCTTGCTGTAGAGAGTCAGATGGATAGCGAGTGCGGTAATTCCTCAGGAGATTGGCCCTGCGAGTAAACATATCGCTTTCTAGCTCGCATCTAGCGTCAGCCAGAAGACGTGCACGACGATCACCGATAGTCGTCGCAAGATCGGATTCATCGTTACCATCGTTCGCGATGATGGAAAGCGAATCAGAAGCAGGAGCTGGGGAATCAAAAAGAGGCCTCGATGCTGGTATTATCATGCTGCGAATGCGCTTGGGGAAAGAAGGTATTTCCACAATATCAGAATCATGGTCTGATGAATGGTCCGATTGCGATGAAGGTGAAGCGATGTCATCATCTGCGTTATCTTCCGAGGACGACTCTGAGGGAGAGTTATCATCAGGAGAAGTGGAACCGAGCCCATAACGACCTGAGGAGGTAGGTCTGATAATGCTAGTGGGTGTTCTTGGGGTAGGAGTGTGATAGATCAATTCAGCTCTAGCAACAATAGGCCTGACGATCTCGTTGTTCCTGCCGACTGATTTGCCAAAGGTAATGACATCACCATTGTGGACTTGAACGGGGATCTGGGTAGGGATCATATTGGAAGTTAAATGTGAAGGTTGGCGGATGTGGGTTCCATGGTGAGAAGAAGTATCGGTAAGATAGAGCTAATAGATGATAGTTTATCAGTACTTGGAATGAAAGGAGGAGAGCACTGAGCATACCAGGCCAGAATCAGAAAAGGTAAACTTGGCATGAGCTCTGCTCACTACAGGACAGCGAAACATTGCTTTGGCGTTGTCGCTATCGTAGATACCGCCAGAGCCATGATTGGGAGGCTTGCGACCCACTACGACGGTATTGGTATTCACTTTGCGAAACATCATACGAAGACCTGGTTCATTTCCATTCTTCTCGATATGCAGTGTAAAGCCTATAATAAAAAGGGTTATCGATGAGTAGATGCCACAAAGGGTACGGCTTACCAGTCACTGAGTTTACAGAGGGGTGTAAAGCTCGAGGCCGAGCACCTAAGAATTCGATCTCATCTTCGACCATTATGGCGGTATTCTCTGATACTCTCGAAGCAAAGCTTGCAATTTGGTTACAGGGTTATAGTAGGTGATGGTTAAGAGCAGGCTAGCGGTCCCGGTTCGGCGCTACTCCTTTTATGCGTCACCGGGCGGCAGTCATGGCGCCAATCTTGTGACTCCTATTCGGTGGTACATGAGCTAGCCTCGCCCCAACCTGGCCCCAACTCAAAGGTTCCACCTCAAGCTACCTATGCCCTCGCCTTCTCTCCTCACTGCTTCTCAATTTGCCGTGAGCTCGAGGTTCTCTAGAAAGACATATCAGTTCGATATCACCGCTCTGATTCTTCTTACACAGAAAGTGAAATATCCAAGCCACTGGTAGCTCTCTTAACCTCTCTTTCTCTCGCGTTACATGCCAAGGTTTCTCAGGAGAAATATTCCGCCATCATCGGTTTAAAATTCATACCAGTGCCCAGCACGGTCTTGCCGCCCTACCAACCGCCTACAGCCTTATTCGAAAGACATTCTCAAAAATCAGACATTGTCCTGTCTAGTTCACAGGCCATCCGGATCGCACAAGGACTCTCTCATAGAAGATGAATGCCCCAATACATCTACATACACTGTACCACTCTTTGTCGACGCAAAACTTAAAACAAACACAAT